GCAAGGAAGTATATATCTTAATTAAGGGAGCCATCTTAGGGTTGGCAAGAGACTTGAACCTAGAGGGGCTCCCAGGTGCCCAGGGCGACGTCCCCAGTTAGTTCCTTGGGCAGATGAGGATAGGGAACCTGAAATGACCCTATCTTAGAGCAATAATGACGAATATCTTGCATATCACCATAGAACCTTCATCTGGCGATGGATGGAGATAGAGACAGAGACCTGCATTGGAGCACGGGAATGAGATCCCAAGGTCCCACTGAGGAGCAGAAGGAGGGAGAACATGAGCAAGGAAGTCAGGACCGCCAGGGGTGCACCCACCCACTGAGACAGTGGGGGTGATCTATTGGGAGCTCACCAAGGCCATCTGGATTGGGACTGAAAAAGCATGGGATAAAACCGGACTCTCTGAACATGGTGGACAATGAGGGCTGATGAGGATCCAAGGACAATGACACGGGGTTTTGATCCTACTTTATGTTCTGGCTTTGTGGCGGCCTAGCCTGTTTGGATGCTCACCTTCCTAGACCTGGATGGAGGGGGGAGGACCTTGGACTTTCCACAGGGCAGGGAACCCTGACTGCTCTTTGTACTGGAGAGGGAGGGGGAGAGGAGTGGGGGGGGAGGGGGCAGGAGTGGGAGGAGGTAGAGGGAAATGGAAGGCTGGGAGGAGGTGGAATTTTTTTTTCAATAAAAAAAAATATAAAAAAGTAGGAGAGTTGTTCATTTTTATTTATGTATATGGGTATTTGCTTTTGTGTGTCTGGGCCCCACATTTGTGTCTGATTCCTGTGAAGGCCAGAAGAGGGTGTTGAAACTCAAATTACAAGCAGCTATGAAACCTCCAGATGGGTGCTAGAAGCTGAAGCAGGGCCATCTGAACCAGCAATAAATGCTCTTAATTGCCGAGTCATCTCTTTAGTCCCACGTTTAAGACTCTGATGTGGTATATCCCTTTGTATGCTGTGATTACCATTGATAAAAATAAAGAACTGCTTTTAGCCTATGGCAGGGAAGAACAGAACCAGTCCGAGAAAGCTAGGCTGCATGCTAGGAGAAAGAAGGGTGGAGTCAGAGAGAAGCCATGGAGCCCCTGAAGACAGATGCTGGGAGTTTTAGCTGGTAAGCCACAGGCACATGGAGATACACAGATTGTTAGAAATGAGTTAAATTAATATGTAAGAGTTAGCCATTAAGAAGCTAGAGCTAATGGGTCAAGCAGTGATTTAATGAATATAGTTTCTTCATGATTATTAGCTGAGAACCAACAAATGGCTTTCTCCAACAAAACTCTTTATTGAGAACAGATTTTCACAGGAGACAGCAGAGGGCCCAGGACAATAGGTGGGATGGAGTACCTGAGTGCCACAAAAAGGCTACGGAGAAACCCTGTCTCGAAAAATCCAAAAAAAAAAAAAAAGGCTTAGAATGAAAGCTTGATTTCCCTCCCCCTCCTCCTGCCCCTCTCCCCACTCCTCTCCCCCTCTCTCTTCAGTACAAAGAGCAGTCAGGGTTCCCTGCCCTGTGGAAAGTCCAAGGTCCTCCCCCTCCATCCAGGTCTAGGAAGGTGAACATCCAAACTGGCTAGGCTCCCACAAAGCCAGAACATAAAGTAGGATCAAAACCCCATGGCATTGTCCTTGGCTTCTCCCTCCTTCTGGAAATGGGAGGCTGGGAGGAGGCAGAAATTTTTGTTCACTAAAAAATAAAATAATAAAAAAAGAATGAGCCTGAGATATGTGCATCTGAGGTATAAGGTGAAACTGAGATCTTATTTTAAAGGAGTAATATAAGAAAATACCCACCCATTTATCAAGCTCCCCTGGTGCACAACAGTGCATGATGGGAAGCTAAGGGGAATAAGAAAGTAAGTTCAGGCACTTAAAGTAAAACTACAGACATAAATGATACCGTGTGATTTGTTTTGCTCTAGACATTCTTGAAATTTAAAAATTAGTTGGGTGGTGATGTTATTCTGTACCATCTTAATCTGGAGAAATATATAAACTGAAACAGTGTGAGAGTATGATTTATAATCTAGAAGGTTTTCTCACTGGATGTGGAAGAGATGCCTTACAAAAGAATAATGAAGAAATATGTTGAAGAGAGTACTATAGTCAGAAGACAAATGATAACTGTGTAGACTGAAGAAAAAGATTATCTGGGATTAAGATAATGTTTAGTATGGTAAGATTTTCTGAGTGACAGTTGAAGAAAGAGTAGAAGGAAAGACTTATCTATGCTGGATAATTTTATGTCACTTGACACAGACTAAAGTCATTTAAGAAAGGAGGGAGCTTCATTTAAGAAAATGCCTCTCTAAGATCAGGCTGTAGGCAAGCTTGTAGGACATTCTCTTAATTAGTGATTAATGGGAGAGGACTCACTGCTATATATATAACACCGTCCCTCTGGTCAACCTCTCCTTATCCCCCCTACCCTGTACTAACTCACTCTACTCATTGACCTCTTCTCATCCCTCCTACCCTCTACTAAACCAGTTTCTAGTGACTACGACTCTACTCAAAACTCTATGGTATGATTTTTAAAAAGTTTTTATCTAGATAAAATCACATAGAACCTGTCTTCCTGTACCTGGATTATTTTACGTGACATGGATACACCTCAAGTTCCATCCATGTTATTGCAAATGACAGAGTTTCTTTTTCGTGGCCAAATGATATCACAAAGGTGAATATAACTATTTCTAACTTCGTTCATCAGTTTTAGGCAGTGCTAGCTTTATTTCTCATCTCTTGTGATTGTGCTACAGAAAAGATGGAAGTGCAAATGTCTCGTCAACATTTTCAACATATTTATTTCTTTTCTTTTAGATATATATTCAGTAATAATATAGCTTGATTACATAATAACTTTGCTTTTAACTTTTTGAGAAGACTTCATATGGTTTTTCATAATGGCCATAATAATTTATAAATAATTTATACTTTACCTACAGTATGCAAGAATTTCCTTCTCCATATCTGCATATACTTTTCTTTGGTCTTTTTAATAGTGACTATTTTGGGGGGGTTAGGTGCTATCTTCTGATTGATTGTGTTGATAGCATTTCCCTGATAAATAGTGATGTTATTTATAATTTTTATCTATCTATTAGTCATGTAGTTTGCCTTCCTTGAAAAATGTCTCTAAAGGTTTATTGTCCAGAAAATCAAGTAGTTTATGTTTTATTGAGTCCTTAAGTTCCTTATATATCTACATATATACAATCTGTGTCAGATAGGTAGTTTGCAAATATTTTCTTTTCTGTAGATGGTCTCTTTAATGCTATTGACTGTTTTCCTTGTTGACAGGAAATGTTTTATTTTTATGTAATTTATTTTTGTATTTTGGTCTTATTGCCGGGTCACTTAGAATTTCATCTGAAATGACCTTGCCAATCCCACTTTCATAAGTATTTTTCTATGGTTTTCTTATTGTGGTTTCATAATTTCAAATCACTTATTTGAACTGACCCTCTACTTTGATTTGGTTTGTGTAACTTGTGTGAGAGATTGCTCTGATTTCATCCCCTTACATATGGGTTGTCTAATTTCCCAAAATTATTTGCCAAAACCTCTGCTCTTTACGTATGTGTGTTCCTATCACCTTTATTGTCAGTCACTTCTCTGTAAATGTTTGGGTTTATCACAGTGTTTATATTGTGTGATACTGGTCTTTGAGTCTGTGACCATGCCGTTTTGAGTAACTAAAGCTCCATGGTACATTTTGAAGTCAGTGGGTGAAGGGCCTTCTGATTATTGATGAGGTTATACTAATCCAGAAAAATTTTGACTTCTTTAGCTAGTTCTGTCTAGTATGTCATTGAAATTATATAAACTCTTTGGATCACTTTGAGTACTGCAGGTTTTCTGATAATTGAATCTCCCCATCTCTGAGTATAGGGTAACTTTTCAGTGTGTGCATCTCCTTGGATCTTTTTGACTGCTCTTTTGTGATTTTTTTTTTCACTATAGATATCTTTGGGAAGGCTGATGACCTTTTATGTGTTTTGTCTGACCTCATCTTTGTTACATTTAATCAAGTCTCTCCATTTTAGGAAAGTTCACAGTTTTCTCTGTTTGCAAGTTTTGTAATTTTTGCTCAACTAATGTCTTGGTTCTTTTTATTTGTTCACTGTCATGAATGAATCCTCATTTGTAAGTGAAATCTTGGTGGCTGTTAGTGGCAGGAAAATTCTTAAGTATTTTAAGTTAACTTTGTTTGAAATCACTGGTAAACTACGGATTCAGTCTTTCAATTGATTCTGATAGTTCTCCAAGGACACAGTCATTGCTCACAAATAATACTAATGTGGATTTTCTTTTCCAACCTTATATCTCACTTTTATACTTAATAAAACATTCTTTTATTTCTGAATTTAAAAATAATATTTAAATATGCCATTTGATAAATGCTGGCTATTAAGGATATTATTGTGGGTAGGAAATATCTTATTATTCTTATAATGTTTTGAATTTTTGTCATGGAAAGGAGATTAAAGGTTTTGGAAATGATGTAGTAAGTAAACTGCTTAAATTGAAAGCTTGAGGACTTGAATTCTATCCCCAGAAGCCAAATACAAATGCCAGGCATAGTGGTTCAGTCTTTTCCTGAGCCAAGGAGTTCAGTCTGTTCCCCACTATATAGTCTTCATCCCTATGTTCCAACATCTTTTGTTCAATAAGGTATTGTGTATGCTATCAAAAGAGAAATACATATACAAAAACTAGCCACAAACTCTTTATCTACAATTGTCTATTGTTTGCAAGGTATGTTGTCACAATGGTGGCACAAAGCTTGTGGGAGTAATGACCCAATTACTAATTTGACTTAAGGCCCATTCCAGAAGATGAAACCCATATCAGATACAACTTTGATAACCAAGAACCTAAGTCTATATGGCCCAGGGACCTACAAGAAAACTAAATAATACTGGTCAAAAATGGGGGAAATGTCATGATAAAATGAATCCTGATGATATTCTGCTATTCTCATAGGTCAGTGCCTTGCTTGCCATCATCAGAAAAGCTTCTCCTGAAAGATGGGAACAAATATAGAGATTCATAAACACACAGTATTCGGACAGTGAGAGACTTGGAACAGTCAGCCGTAAATGGAATACTTTGATCAATACGCTTCCCCTCCTGCTCCTCATACACACACTACCTCACTGCTCAAGGAAGCCTGCAGAAGAGGAGACAGAAAGAACAAAAGAGCTGGAAGGAAAGAAGGACATCAAGCCTTCTAAATTCACATGAGCAAAACTCACATGAGCTCACAGAGACTGAGGCAGCATGCACAGAGACTGCTTAGATCTGCACCAGGTCCTCTGCATATATATTATGGTTTCCAGCTTAGTGTTTTCATTGTATTCCGAAGTGTGATGGGGGGGGGGGGTGAAGAGTATTTTGGTCTCTGATTCTTATATCTTCTCTTGGTCTCTTTTCCTTCTGTTGGTTTATCTTGTACAACTTTGAAATGATAGCATTTGTTTTACTTTATTATATCTTTGTAAGCAGAAGTTTCTGTCCCACCAGCAACTCCCAAATAGCTGGCAGCTGCTTCCCAAATTACTACTAGGAGGCTTATATTAATTATAAATGCTTGACTGGTAACTCAGACTTATTACTAACTAGCTCTTACATTTGAATTAGCCCATAATACTTACCTATGTTTAGCCACGTGGAACGTGGTTTGGTACCTTTTCTCAATCTGGCATTCTTGCCTCTGGATGGTGGTTCCTGACTCTGCCCTTCTTCTTTCCATCATTCTTAGTTTGGTTGCCTGGCCTACACTTCCTGCCTGGCTACTGTCCAACCAGCATTTTATTAAACCAATTTGAGTGACAAATCTTTACAGTGTACAAGAGGATTATTCCATAACATTACCTTGAAGTTATGTTCATGAAAATCTAGGCACTAGATAAAGATACCTACCTGCTGGGAGAGGGAATGACACTGGGCATATCCATCACTCAAGTACAGTCTTCATGTTCAAGAGTATCTAGCAAGCCTATAATGGACTCCACACTTTTTGGTTTTGTATGCTTTTATTGGATATTTTTTGTGGGGGATGTTGGGGTTTTTTGTTCATTTGCTTTGGTGGTTTTATGTTGTATAGGGTTTTATTTGTTTTTTAAGAAAGAACTTAAAGTTGGGTGGATAGGGAGGAGGAGGGAATCTGGAAGGACTTGGAGGAGGAAGGGGAAGAAAAGAATCAAAATATATTTAAATTTAAAGTGTTTAAAGCAAAAAAATATATGGAAAAAGAAAACTATTAAAAAACAGGGAAAATAAATCTGGGTTCTGGTCATAAAGGCATATTTTATTCTATGAAAATTCACAAACACAAATTTACAAAAGCATTTCTTTCTATGAAAATTCAAATTGTATACTTATGACATATAAACCTTATACATGACACTTTTAACTTAAAAAGTCTTTAAAATGATACACTGTGGTGGAAACTTTCATTACAGAAAAAAGTGAACTCAGTTTACTACAATAGGTTGAAATGATTAATTCTTGGGACTGGAACGATTGTGCAGCTGGCAAGTGTACTTTTCACTCTTCTAAAGGACCCAGGTTTGATTGCCAGCACTTACATGAAGGCTCACAACCATGTGTAACTCCCAGGAGATGCTGCCTCTAACACTGTCTTGTGGCTTCTGAATGCCTTCGATTCTTTCCTTTTGGGAGAGTGTCTACTTGTAACTCTTTTGAAAAGTTTATAATTTTCTTATTGATTCTGTTAATTTGGTCTTAATTTTACTTTGGGTCTATAACACAGCTACTGTGTATCCTGTTTGGCATTCCAGAAATTCTCTGGTCTTATAAGTATGTGTATTTAGTGTTTCTACCTTCTAACAATATTCAATATTTTGTTATGCTGTAATCTGATTTTCTCATGACAGAACAATATTGGAACTATAGGACTCCTATAATACCTTAGGGCTTATATATTCCTCTGTGAAGGTAATAGTTCTTTCAACTTAAGCTGCTACATTCTACCAAAGAAAGGGAACTTGAAAAAGTATGAATGGGGTGAAAAAGAAATTTGATAAATAAAAGATATATCTTCCCTACACTAATATGATGGCTGTTCTTGGTTGTCAACTTAATTACATCTGAAACTAAAACCCCAAAATGGAAGGTACACCTGTGAGGAACTGTGGTGGCTTGAATAGTTAGGGCCCCATGTGTTTGAATGCTTGGCCCATAAAAAGTAGCACCATTAGGAAGTGAGGCTTTGCTTTAGTACGTATGACCTTATTAAAAGAAGTATGTCACTGTAGGGGCAGACTTTGAGGTCTTAAATTGATGTGGGAGTGTCATATATCAATCTGTTGATTTCATTGGTTAAGTAATAAAGAAACTGCTTGGCTGGCCCTCATAGGTTAAAACATAGGTAGGCGGAGTAAACAGAATGGAAGGCTGGGAGAAAGAAGCTGAGTCAGAGAGTCGCCATGATTTTCCCACTCCAGACAGACACAGGTTAAGATCATTCCTGGTAAGCCAGCTTGTGGGCTACAGCAGATTATTAGAAATGGGCTAGTCCAGGTGCAAGATCTAGCCTAGAATAGGCTAGATAGAAATGGGCTAAGCGGTGTTTAAAAGAATACAGTTTCCATGTAATTATTTCGGGTAAAGCTAGCTGTGGGGGCGGCCGGGTGCCGGGGATGCTAGCCGGGTGCCGGGGATGCTAGCCGGGTGCCGGGGATGCAGCCCTGCCGCTTATACTACAACATTAAATGCTCATATTACAGCCAATTTGGTGTCCAGTCTTACTCTTTTGCCTGCAGATCAAGATATAGAACTCTTAGCTCATTCTCTAGCACCATATCTGCCTGCACATTGCCATACTTTCCACCATAATGATAAAGTTCTAGACCTCTGAAACTGTATGCCCACCCCAATTAAACATTTTCCTTGATAGGAGTTGCTGCAGTGAACTTTACTCAAAAGAACAATACTCAACTTCTTTTGGAAAAACAAAAATCCAGGATAGCTGGAATAATCCTGTATATATAACTTCCAGAGGTAACACCATCCCTGGTTTTAGGCTCTACTATTGAACTATAGTAATAAATATCACATGGTATTGACATAAAAACAGATGGGTGGATCAATGGAATTGAATCAAAGACCCAGGTGTAAACCCACACACCTATTGATACCAGATTTTCAACAAGGAAGCCAAAATTATACAATGGAAAAAAGGAAGCACCTTCAACAAATGGTGCTGGTATAACTGGATGTCACCATGTAGGAAAATGCAAATCTATCCTTATTTATTGCCCTGCATAAAACTCAAGAACAAGTGGATAAAAAACCTCAACATTAATCCAGATACATTGAATCTATAGAAGAGAAAGTGGGAAGTCATCTCAAATGAATTGGCACAGGAGACAACTTTCTGAACAGAAGAACAATAGCACAGGCACTAAGATCTACAATTAATAAATGGGAGTTCATGAAATGGAAAGGCATAAAGACATCATCAATAGGATAAAATGGTAGCCCACAGAATGGAAAAAGGTCTTCACCAACCTCACATCTGACAGAGGACTGGTTTCCAAAATATATAAAGAACTTAAGAAACTAAACATCAGCAAACTTAATAATCTAACAAAAAATGGAATACAAATCTAAACAGAATTATCAGTAGAAGAATCTTGGGTGGCTGATGGAGGAGGGTCATCTTTCTATCTGTTGATTTCATTGGTTAAGCAATAAAGAAACTACTTGGCCCTCATAGGTTAAAACATAGGTGGGTGGAGTAAACAGAACAGAATGCTGGGAGAAAGAAGCTGAGTCAAGGAGTCGCCATGATACTTCCACTCCAGGCAGACGCAGGTTAAGATCATTCCTGGTAAGCCAGCTCGTGGGCTACACAGAATATTAGAAATGGATTAGATCAATATGTAAGAGCTAGCCAATAAGAGGCTAGAGCGCATGCGCCAAGCAGTGTTTAAAAGAATACAGTTTCCGTGTAATTATTTCGGGGCATAAGCTAGAGCTAGCCATGTGGGCGGCCGGGTGCCGGGGACGCAGCCTGCCGCTCGTACTACTACAGAGTGGCGCCCAGTGTGGTAATGAACTCCACTTAAAACCTGAGAGAGCTTAATTTTAATCAGAGAAAAAAAAAAACAGAGTTTAACACAGCTTTTGGCTGTTGATGAAAGACCCCCACAGTATAGACAAACAGCTAAGCAGCAGCAATGCCAGGCTTAAACTTTGGAGCAACACAAGTAACATTAGAGCAGGGAAGTTCGACTTGAGAACAAGGGCCGAGAAGCCAGGCAAGATATCTGCGGTCAGCCGGTCAGCCATCTGGCCCCAAGCGATAAGGAACAAGAAAAATGAAAGACCCTCTGGACACCCCCCCCCCCAGAACCCGCAGCTGGCCTGCTCTCATGAGAACATCCTGTTCGCTTAAGACCCTCAGGACCCCCCCCCCCCCGAACCCGCAGCTGGCCTGCTCTCATGAGAACATCCTGTTCGCTTAAGACCCTCAGGACCCTCTCAGGACCTGCAGCTAGCCGGCTCTCATGAGAACATCCCGTTTGCTTAGGGAAACAGGATGCCTATAGTCAGCACATGTGCCCAACTTAGAATATCAGTAATTTACAGAAGAGACAACTCCCCCTATGAAAGATCCCAGCTTGGCTGCTGTAACGTCATTTCACAAAGCTTTTGACGAACGACTATAAGTGCAGAGTAAGGTCAGGGTCCCTGGCTGCAAAACAGGATATTTATATCCATAGATTCGGACAAGACATCAATTAACAGGATATCTGTTCCCATACATCTGTGCTGGGAAAGGAAAAACCACCTGTGCCCCTTGCCCCATTCCAACTGGCCACTAACAATGCATTTGCTTCTGTAATCTGCTTCTGCTGCCCTCTTTCCTATAAAAAGACCTTCCCCCAGTCTGCAGGCGCGCTTTGTCTTTCGAGAGACTAAGTCGCCCCAGGTACCTGTGTACTGAATAAAGCCTCTTGCTGTTTGCATCCGAAGAGTGATCTCGCTGTTCCTTGGGAGGGTCTCCTTAGCCTGAAAGACTGCCCACCACTGGGGTCTTTCATTAGTTGGTGGCATGCTGTAGAGAGATTTCCTGATTCGGCATCAGCAGCAGAAAAAACACTACGTCATTTTAAAGCGCAGCTTCCTGGGGCTATGCTGCCAGCGTCAACTCTGGCCTTAAAGCATTTCAATGGATTTTATGGGACTGGATGTTTCTGTTCCCACTTTGGATCAGAAGGAGAGTGCTCTGAGACCGTGCTGATGGCTCAGTGCTCCCCAACTGCACCTGGGCAGTTGGCCGAATCAGGCTTAGGCAGGCGGAAGGGCATGGTGTGTTTTCAGACTGCGCACTGCTCTGCGTGTCAGATTTGGCTATAACTTGGATGAAAAGAATTTCTGTGCTGCATGTTCAGTCTCAGAATTAAAGTGCTGAGTGCCGCTCCTACCTGGCGGCCCCAGAGCTAGCACAAAATGGTACGGCCTCCATTTTGAAATTTTCCTGACTCAGAAGCAGGAAAAAACTGGCTGTTTTAAAACATTTTAAAATGGCAGCTTTCTCGGCTGTGCAAGGATCAGAGGCATGAGCGGCTCTGCCATGTTGGACTGGGCAGGGCCAGCAGGCAGTACCTGTTTTTGACCTAGGAATGTCACAGCTTAGATTCTTAAGCACTTAGTGATTTAAAGGTGCAAATCAAAAGTGCTCCTGGATAGTAAAAAATTGCAGATTCACAATAGGACAGATTCAGACCACTAAATGAGTCACACTGTTGGATGAATGTACGTAGGCTTGGGAGAGAGAAGAAAAAGAATATAGAGAATAAAGTTAATGGTTTAAAAAAAATGGTAAAGTCTTTAAAGAGACAGAGTACAGATAGTTAAGAGATTAAAAGAAATAAAGGAAAATAAGCCATGTAAAAATGGAAAATTCATAGAAAGTCTGGATTATGTACATTGTGTTTTCTTTAAAATTTTTGACTGTGAAGGAGCTAAGTACAGAGAGACATTTCATTATATGGACTGCTCAAATCAGTTTCTGAATTCTGATTCCTCAAACCCAGCTTGCTGGAATCCCCATGTCTTTTTCTCTATTTTCCAGCTTTCCTCCTCTTCATCAAGGGTGCAACTG